TCCTGGCCTTACTACTAGGAGCCAGGACGCTACTAGGGGCTCCTGGCAAGTAGCAAAGACTTCCAGCGTCCATGTTGCCTGCCGCACTCCCACCGCGGCCTGAGGCTGGTCTTGGGCGTGGACCTTTGGCGATGAACGGAGTCTCGGGGTTTGTCTCAAAGAGCCGCCTCCACCTGCAAGAGCTTCTATTCAGTTCTATTCTATTCAATGCAGAGAATGATGAGAATGCGACAATTATGAAACATCCCTGCAGCAGTTCCTTGTGATTTGCTTTCCCGGACATCATCAGCAAAGTTACTATAGCATCATTGGAAGCTCCCTGAAAAATATCATGGGTAAATACTAATTGGCCAAAGAGAAAACGCAACACGCAATTGGATGGCAACCCCGCGTCTTTATAACGCCAATTGGGTACTGCCAGTTTGTGCTTGTGCATCTGATCGCATAGGACTTCTTGGGGCCTTTGACCTTCCGCAGCGGGACCACCATACCTGGAGATCTGGTGATTGCTGCGCTCTATGGTTTGTTGACACTTTGCGCTTTTTACATATTTGAACCCACTTGCGCCTTTTTTGTTTTCTTTTTTGAAGTGGCAGCCTTTGATCGCTTGGAGTTGTTGTGTGTGTGATTGGGAACTGGGGATGGTGACCTGGCTAGTTATATAGATATATTCACTGTATATAAGTGCCATTGTGCGTGTCACTATGATTGGAAGTTTGGCAGAAATCCCACTTGAACACCGGCTTGCCCAAGCTTGTCTCATAGCATTGTCCCTTCACGTCAATTTCAACATGTCTCGGACGCGTCCGCATTTGAGGGGTGGGCTGATGTTGGCCTTGTCGGCAGAGTTCACCACACATCTCCGCCATCGAGATGTGATGTTGGCGTCTAGCGGGATCTTCCTCTTCAGCCGAGCGGCCCAACAGAGCTTGTTGCTTTGGACCCCCAAAGTCGCATGCATCATGTCGTATCTCAGTATCTCGTGGTTGGTGCTTTTGGGGGCATGTCTAATGAACTTACGGCAATCAAGAACGTGGGCAGACGGCAGACGGCTTTGTATAAGTGGATTTGTTGAGGGAGGTTTGTGCAGACCTCTTTGATCCCCTTCCATTTCGGCACTGGGGAGTGAGTAATTTGCTCCAGACGCCCTCCCCCGGATCACGAGTATGAGTAGTGAGCAGTCTCGACCAAACCTCCAAATACTGCACAGATGCGCCCCACCATCGGCAAGGTCTTCTGCTGGCCTTCATGCTTTTCCCCTACAGCTATGACCGCCCCAAGCGAGTCTTCCAACAGCACGTGGCGCGGTCAGAGGCCTCCTGGAACCTGCAGACTGGGGAGGTTCGATGGCAAGAGATGGAGCATGGCCTGTGGACCATTGCCATGGACACCTAACACATCATTGATGGGACAGTGAGGGAGAGCGAGCAAAAGCAGGAAATTGAGACACGCAAATGTTGGAGACATTGAAGTGGAGCAAACACAGCTCTCCAAAAGCGTTGGCTGTAATTAGCAAATGCCATCACATGTTTTATCGGGGTACGGTCTACCGATGTCTACCGTAAGGTACCTCAAGAGTCAAATAGTGTCAGAAGATGCCAAACGAAAAGCCCTTTACATCCCTCATCCTCAAGCTCCAGGGTGACTGTGGTCCTCGCTTGCGATGTTTGTGATGATTTAAGGATTGGAACAACGTCGGCACTCTGAAGACGTTTGCACCATATGGGCTTCCTGCAGAGTCTAGACCACACAATGACTCTGCGGGTATCTATGGGCAGGTGCCTAGACTTTGGTAATAGCGTGTGGCTGGTGGCATTTTGCGCAAAGACATGTCTGAAGGAGCATTTGTGACCATCCGACCATCCCAAGTCAGAGGTAACCGGAACGTGGCACTGGAAATGCCAATGCTGAACCCAGGAGATCATGCAGAGGCCTGTTGAATCCTGTTGGTGCTGGCATGTTGCCTTTTGGCTTTCACGATGGAACCTTCAAAACATCCTCAGAGTGCATCCGTGGGTTGTCGTGGATCAGGTGCCGATGCCTTTTCCCATGAAAGCCTTCCTGATGGGTGGAAGTTGGTCCCCTCGACGAGCACCAGACCTACCCAGTGCCTTGGAGAGTTCTGGCCGGGACCAGGAGCTCAAGGTTGGTCTCGCTACAAAGGGATCCCTTCAACCAGTGGGAGCGTAGTCACCCTCAGGTTTGTGGAGTTCAAGAGGCAACATGACAAAACTCAAAACTCACAAATATATACATAGATATATATATATACATATATATATATATAGATAGAGAGAGAGAGTATATCAACCTTAGCGTGCCAGATCGAGTGTGCAGAACAAGCTGCCCACTTTGGCCATCAGTCTCAGGTTTGCTGATCTTGGATTAACATTAAAATGCTTTGAGGCCTTTGATGCAACTCCTTGGCTCTTGTGCAAGTGGCCTAAGCCCCCCAACGTGACCAAGGCCGCCTTTCTTTGGACCTCCGCGCTGGAGAAGTGCAACGCTCCCATTATCGGAGCTTGCATGTTTCAGTGCGGGGAGGGCCTCAGATGATGATGGTGCTGGCGCCAGCCTCCAGGGTGCAACAGTGGTCCTTCGGGCGCTATGAGACATGGTGCATGGGGTGAAGGACATGTAGTCCTTCTTCTCAGGGTGAAGGACCGATTCCTAGTTTGGTAGCGGTTTTTGGTCACGGTCTATCATACAACTAGAATGTATCACCAGACACAATGGGGTTTGGGGGCTTGACGGCTTGACTCGTTGAGATACTGTACTGTTTATGTTTTGCTCGCTACGCTGTGTCCATGTTGTGCCGAGATGCAAGGAAAGAAGTGCTGATCATAGAGATGCAAAGCACAGCACTGATCCAGCGAATCTTCCACTGGGGCCACTCACCACGGGAGGGACGGCGGTCGATGAGGGGGGCAACATCCACGATTTGCTGGGCCTCCCTTCTTGTCGATTGTGTGGACCGAAACGGGCTGTTCCACGTGATGCTATTAGAAATTAGAACCATCGACCGGTTTGTGAAGCAGATTAGTCGAACAGCAGGATAAGTAGCCACTCTTTTTGAGTATATACTAAGTACTGTTATAACTTCGATCCCTTTTAAATTCGTTAGTCTTCTACCATGCACTGGTTGATGTTCACCATGAGTTAGGAACCGTGTTGGCCTGTTTAATCATTTAATCCTCGTCAAACATACAATTTGTTTTTTGGCCAATTATCGAAGTGAATTATTGTCAATAATGTGGAAATTGAGGTGATATGAGATTGTATGTGGCAGCCTTCAGACATGAATCTAGAAACTTTGCCAGGGACTGTGAGGGAAGATTGAATTTTGGTGGCAAAGTTTGCTGACATTGGGGACTGGCAGCTGGGGTTTCCATTTTTGTCACAACGCCAATTTCTTTCATGCCTTTCACAGGGTAGCTACTACGCACGAGCACCTGAGCCATCAGGCTCCCACGGAAGCGGAGCGACTGTGACTGTTTCTTTCTGCCACTCGCTCTTGGTTCATCCTTTTTTCCTCGTTGGGAGAGCCTGCAGCAGACCTTTGGACTGGACTGGAGAGTAACCTTAGCCAGACTTTTCCCAATGAGTTTGCTATCAAACGCACATGCAGAATAGCCAGAGTTTGTCCGATTGCTTCTAAAACAAATAGGAAGATGTTTTTTTTGCGGGGTTTTGCTTTACAATGGATGTCAGGTGTATCCGCCCACAAGGGCCGGAGCGCCGCTCAAACATTTGAGGCTCTATGCTGAAGGCGGAATTGAGCCCAGCGAAGGTAGCAGCGAAGCCTTTAACTTCACCGTGCTGGTGGAAGCGGGGACTGAGCGGCTTGGCGTCACAGTAGGGTTGTGTAGGCCTGCTTGCTACAAACTCTCAACAATTTAGCGTCAACGAAAATGATTGTGTAATATTTTGTATATACCATTGCACCTTAACGAAGTTGACAACTTGTCCTCTCCTTCTTCCAGGATGCATTTGGACCTTTGGGCTTTGCACTTGGAGAGCTCCAGCGACCACCTGCGCCACGAAGAGCGACGTGTGCCCAGCTGGGTGAGCCACTTCGGATGGGTCTCGGAGCTCCAGGCTGGGACCGAAATGGAACTGGTTGAACGTTAGGAACGAGTTTCTTGCACCAGATGAAACCCAACATGAACCAAAGGGTGGTCGTTCTTTTTGGGGGGGGCCATCAGATGGAGTCAGCACGATGGAAGCAAAGAGGTCGAGTTGTGATGTGATCGTAGCAGACACCCTGCGACCATTCTTGCAGAGGAAGTCCTCGGGTTCAGAGTGGCGGTTTGCAGGTTTTGCACTGCATCAACGGTGACTTTGCCATGTTCATGTCATATGTGCAGCATATGAAACCTGAAATGGGACTCTTCAATGCCTCAGGTGCATCACATTTCCCTTTGATTGCGAAAACAGAGAAAGCAGTGGCGGCGGCCGCGACAATTATGGGGGCTGCGGAGATGGTGGATAAAATGATTGTTGAGTTGCAACTTGGAGCTGACCTTCACCCACCATTAATTAATGATGGTTATATACACTCCTATATATGCCTATATAAACCTGATGAGTTTCCCCCGCCTTGAATCCTTGAAAGCTTGTGACTTGGCGGTTGTGCAGATGCTTCAATGAAAAAGGCCAGAGGGGACAGGTGGCTGAATGCATCAAGACAAAAGCCAATGTTTGACCTTTTATGTCACATGACATCATGGCGGTCACCTGTGCCATGGAGCTCAAGGCGTCATCGTTTGAGAGAGGCCTTGTGACATGGTTGAGCATTCTCCAGCCAGCTAGCTTGGACTTGGATAGGTTGAAAGATCAGTTTGCTCTATTTGAAGCCTTTCCCAGCTGCCAGCTCATCGCGCCCATGGTGACCACCCATATGGGCAGCTTGGGAAGGCTCCGAACATCCCAATGTAGATGGAGTCTCTCTGATATGTTTACTGTAGTCAAGTGGAGAGTCACGCCCCAGCTCAACCACCTGCTTGGTGAAGCGTGCCATGTTTAGCTATGCCGTGTCCTTGCTGGGTGGTGAGCTGAATGGCTCCAGCTGACGCAATGTGACGAATAAATGCTCAAGGCTTGGACGAAGGAGGTAATGCCAAGAAGTCTGTGTTAATTCAATTTATGTTAATATGTTTAAATGGTCGTCCTCAACCAATGAAATCTAGGGATGAGGCTGTTTATGTAGAGCAGAGGGTGTGCAGACGGTTTGTGTTCATCCTCACTGAACTTGGTGACAGGTTTGGCCGTGGGCCATCGTCCAAGTGCATGTCTTGTTGCCTGGCCAGATTCCTTCCCCTGGCAGCCCTGGCGTTGACGGTCACATTCTTTCGGTGTTCAGCATGCAACCCACGCCAACGAGCTTCATCTCAACCTTGGGCCTGAGTGGTGATTGATGTGGGTGGAGCCACAATGAATCACAATTACTGAGTTCTCCCCCAAGCTAGGCCAGCTTGGCCTTGTAAGGATTTGATTTGCTGATTTGCGTATTTGTGCCAGGCATGGCGCAGCATGGTTTAAAGAACCAGGTGCAGCTACTACACATCCAGTTACGAAAGTCTCAAGGTTGCCGAGTGGCTGGATTCTGGTTCCTTTTTCTCAGACCGAATGACGAACAAACTTTAAACTTTGACTCTCAGATTCCCTCCATTCTGAGCAAAATACCTGTAAAAAGGAGCAAGCACTAGTCAAAGTTACGATGGCAGCTGTGCGGCCTTGGAATATTGAATCCACAATGCAGCGGGGGATTTGCAGAGCACCCTTTTAATTGGCCTAAGGTTGTCCCAAAAACTGCCTGAGCCACTGCCTTTATTCCAGAAACTGCCTGAGCCCCGCCTGAGCGACTATGAAGCCTGGCAGCTGAAGTCCCTGGCGCTGGTCGGGGCCTGTATTTTGGAGCTTGGGGCTGTTCACTGCTCTCCCATGTCTTCGCTTTCCAGGGCTCTGGGGATGTTGTGACCCTACCGCCGGGTGCTTTGGACCATCTACCCTGGCTCAAAGATGTCGGAAGGTATGCCAGGTGTGCTCCGCGATGGGGTCGGTGGTCACGGTGACAAGCACATCTGGGGCTACATGTTTCGTTTACAATGCATGGGTATACTGCCCTTGCAAGCGGCAGTGGAGGCTACAGCCACATCAGAAACTACAGAAGAAGCTACAGTACATAGTTACTGTATATAACTATAAGGCTCAGAGTATATAGATGGTATTTAACATTACGACCGTTCTTATTCCGTGTTGGCGGCTGTCCTTTCTGAATTCACCCATGCTGGTCCGCGACTTCCTTGTGTTCCTCGCATGGCATGAGCTGCCGCTGATGTCACACTTTTTTGATCTTAGGACGGCTTGAACATCTTCATCTACAACTTGCCAAACCGCTTTCATGCTGACGTCCACCAAAAGGTGGGCTCTTTTTGATCTACCAAAACTACTAGAAGGGGCGGATTCGATCACCTTCATTCGTTTTTTACTTGGCGTGGGAGGTGGAGCGGGCAGCATATGAGGCGGGCAGCAACTGTGATTGGATGAGATTCTCAGCTGCATTCGCCGGGTCAAAGGACCCGCTGACCCCTGACCTAGCGGCCCCACTAAAGCTTGGCCAGTAGGGACCGTTTGGCGTGTCGGCGTTAAACGCGTTGCAGGCTCTCCTCATGCTCCCCCGATGAGAGTGCTTCATTAAAGTAGCTTCGCTGGGGTTCTAAAAAAGGGTTCCTTTCCAATGCTTACTATTTTCGTAGTGCGCCCTGACTTCAGTGTCCCCAGATCCGCACTCAGGATCTGCATGTACTGAGACTGCCGCCGTGCAAGGATGGAGCATCAAGCGGCAGCTGGGAATGGAGGCCTTGGCTGGGACGCTGGAGAATTCAAATAAGAGTCCATTTACATAATAGAATTTTGATCATATGAATAAGTTCAAACAGTATCCTAGTCTAGTACGACACTTGGTCTCGGGAAGTGATGGGAGTCATTGCATGTCATATATTCCAAAACTATGTGATCTAGTAGCTTCTTGTTACTACTAGTAAGGCACCTGTTGCTACTAGCGATGCACTTGTTCCTAATAGCGTCCACTAGACTGGCGTTTTGCTGTGCGACCTTTGCCCTGAGGTGATTGTTCTGCGGAAGCTGTTGGCAAGTCCCCGTCATGTCCCTGCAGAGGAAGCTGATCTTTTTGTTGTCCCTGCTCTGATTGGCACCAACTGCGCTGCTGGCACCTACAACAGCAATTGCATCACGCCCGCGGACACACGGACTGGAAGAACTACAAAGAACCGGAGGGTGGATCAATCTGCATTGGCATCTGTAAGGCCAACTCAGTTTGACACAATAAAATGGGATCCGTTCCTGCTCTATCAATATCATTTCACCCTTGGTTTGATTTCGTTGTTTGTCCTGTCATCTCTTCTGTTGCATCTTTCAATGTTCATGTGGCCCCTTCTTCGAAGCACAGGCAAATGCGTGCGTGTATCCAGCAGATATGGTGGACACATGTGTTTTTGAGGCAAGTGGGCCAATGGGCAACAAGATATTTTGTGAACACCCCGCGGTCCTGTGCTGAATCTGTCAAGAAGTAGCCGAGTCATGGATCTGGTTACCAGGAAGGGCAGACCCACCAGGCATAGTCTTGGAGGTCCCATTTCAAGGGAGAATGCTGTGATCACTTGTGATTTTTGCTCCATGGCCTGTCCCAGGACCACATTCAGCAAGAATTGCTGCTGCACTTGCCACACTACAATGCGGAGACCAGGCCACAGCTCTTGAACTGCCAAATGTATGTATATAAGTGAGCGCCTTTGAGTTTGCACAGCACGCCTCGCATGCGTGAGGCATCGGCATGTCTTCTTAGCCTCGCTGGACAAGCGATCCTTGCCTATCGAGATCCAAGCGCAGCCGCTCTTAGTGTCAATGGGCGCATCCTATGGAGATCACCCTGGCCATTTCGTAGTACCTTGGAGGCTGTTTTGAGTCAGGACTCATATTTTCTGTGGTGCTGGGGGTCCGCATGTGTTTTTTCGTCAAGAGGGTGGGATGAAGTGCGTGAAGGACTCATAGGC